TTGAATCTCTTTATAGCTTATATTTGGGGGGAAATTATTTAGGACAAACGGCTACGCTTATTGCGGTGCTTTAATTATATAAAATCAATAATATTTTTAATATTTATGATGCATTATTGTATAATGTTTGAATTGAATAAAAATGCTTTAAACTTCAAAATTTCACAATTTAAAAACTCAGTCCGAGTTAATTCACTGTATTTTGACAGTCATGATTTTGACAAAAAAATGCTTTTAGCTTCTTTTTTCAAATCTATTTTACTCAAATTATTTTTTTAAAAAAATTTATTCCTCAAAATCTAATCCAAATAGTATGCTTAGTTGCTAAAATCTCTACATGGGGACAATAACATGATTTTTAAAACAAGTTCGTTTTGGTTCATTTAGGCTTGGGAGAAGATTCTCCCATACAAGATACCATGGTTATCAAAGCGAGATACGAATCGTGAATCGGAAAGCCGATTTTTTGAATCTTGAATCGTAACGTATCGTGAATCGTAAGATTCATGAATAACTATTAAGGATGATATATAAGTAATTTTTGTATAAAAAGATATCAAAAGTTTGTAAATATTAGTTATTTTAGACTCTCAAAAAAATATAAAAGCCAACATATGAAATTCTAAAGACAAATAGTCCTCAAAATCAATTCACAAAATCAAAATCCTAGCTTAAAAAGACTAAAATCACTGAACATAAAATTCAATTCCTCATTCATCATCTCCAAGATCAATGTCACTCAATTCATGATCATCCTCCATTAACAATGTCACTTCTTCATCATCCTCCTCTTCCCCATCTTCAGCATCATCTTCATTCTCATTCTCTTGTCTTACTATAGATTTTCCTTTGTTATTGGCTTTGGCATTCAAGTTTCTTGGACCTATGGGAAAAAAAACTTAATAAGTATGATGGTATATATTTAAACTAAAAATTAACTTAAGTTTAGCTTGAAATATTATACCTCTCTTTCTTTTCTTACTTGGAGCTCCTTCATCAAGAGTAAAACTCTCATGTATGTCCATCCATGACCCGTCCACTGGCAAGCATGGATTTTCTTTTTCAGTGATCCACTCATCATCAGATTCAATATCTGATAAACAGATTGGATCATATGTCTCTCCTTTTTCCTCTCTAATCTTTTGTCTCATCTCAAGTTGAAGGTTGTACTTGACAAATACAAGTGCATTTAACCTTTGTTGTTCTAAACGATTTCTTCGCTTAGTATGCACTTGATCAAATGTGCTCCAATTTCTTTCACATCCAGTAGCACTACACGTGAGACTCAAAATCCTCATAGCTATCTTTTGCAACTCCTTGCCCTCTCCTCCATAACTTTCCCACCAAAGAGCTAAAAAAAGATACAATAATGAGAAATGATTTCAAAAATTCATATTTATTATTAAGATTAAAAATTACAGTCTTCTAAATAGAATAGACTATAGACTAGAGAATGGTACCAGGTTGCTTTTTGTTTCTAGTATCTATTGCCATGCTCCTTCCAAAAAGCCCCTTAGCAGACTTAAATGCTTCAAGTTGTTGATCAACTAAAAATCTTGTCTTTCTATCCGGAATCATTCTCTCAATAGTTTCATATAAACCAAAATAAACTTCCTGGTCCGCATTAAATTTTTCATCATAATGAAACCTACGAAAATAACAAATAAGTTATGTTTTTCTAAGTTCTAACATACAATTAAACAATAATATTTAAATTTAAAGTGTATAAAACTTACTTAGGATTAAGAAAGTAGGCAGCCGCATGGAGGGGTCTATGTAATTGCAAAGTCCAACGAATATCAATGATCTTCCATATTTTTTATACCTTGATTCCTTCTTTTCAAAATTGTCAGCAATCTCTTCTTTGGCTCTGTCCATTGCTTCATAAATATATGGCATAGCAGGTTTAGAGTCACCATCTACAAGTCTTAAAACTTTTACAAGTGGACTCACACACTTTAAGCAATATTTGATGGAACTCCAAAATCTAGAATCCCCAAAAACCATGTCCACCACTTGCTTGCCCTCACTTTTACTAGCAAAAGTACTAGAAGTCCAATCATCTGAAGCAAACATGGTTCGAAGAGCATTTTTTTTCTCGCAATATACAACTTAGTGTAAGATAAGCTGTTGCAAACCTTGTCACTGCCGGTCTAGCTAATTCTTTTCCTTTAGAATACTTTCTATACAAGTTAAGGACCCATGTATGCCTATAAATGAAGGTTGTTATTTTCTTTGCATTGGTGATGGTATTATAAAATACTGGAAGTTGCCCAATGTCTTCAAGGATTAAATCAAGACAGTGTGCTGCACAAGGGGACCAAAATAATTTTGTTCTCTTCTCTTCTAACATCTTCCCTGCTGCCACGAGATTTGACGCACCATTTGTCACAACTTGCACCACATTATCCTCCCCAATTTCCTCAACCAGATTGTCTAGTAATTCAAACATTTGTTTAGCATCCTTAATCACACTACTTGTATCCACTGACTTTAGAAAAACTATTCCACTAGGACTGTTAACTAAAAAATTAGTAAGAGACCTTCCTTTACCATCAGTCCAACCATCACACATCAAGGTACAGCCCCATTTCTCCCATTCCTTCTTATACTTTGCTAGACTTTCTTGAATTTTATCAACTGCTTTTTTCAAGTGAGAAACTCTCACCTCATGATAACTTGGAGGTTTCAAACCCCTACCATATTCACCAACAGATTTTAACATTTGAATGAATAGTGGACTTCTCACCAAATTAAATGATAAAGCATTACCATAGATGCATTTACAAATATCTTGAATTACTAACTCTCTATCTTTTACCATCTCATTCATTGTTTTCTGTTTGGTAGTTTTTGATGTCCTTCCTTCCCCTTAGCATCTTGAGCAGTTGCCTCTTCAAATATTTCAACACTACTGGCATCTTTACTTTTTTCTCTATTTTCTAACATTTTAACAAACAAATTTTTCACTTCATCAGGAACACTTATACAAGGACTCACATTCTCTCTAGTTCCAGCCAAATGATGTTTCATCCTAGCTACCCCACCCCAACATTGATGTGAACAGTATTTGCATTTAACCATAAGTCTATGGGGAGGAACACTTTCATAGTGATTCCATGTAATATCAGCTTCCTTTTTTTTCTTATTCTGAGTCTGACTCATTTTTCCTACCTTCACAAATATAATATCCAATAGAAGCAAAAAAGAAGCAGGAAAAAATTAGCAAATAGGAGTTTATTCAATGGACCCCAATCAACCAGCAAGTCAGCAACAGCCTTCAATTTTTATTACCTTTCGACCAAAAAGGACCAGTAGAAGAGGAGAAAAAAAGCAACCGTGGGGCACAAGATACAGAACGTGAAGAACAGAGCATATGGGAATAAAAAAATAGGGTTTCACATGCTTATAATTCAATTTGCGGCAGTTTCTCCCTTTAAATAACAAAAAAATCGAAGAAAAAAAAACAAAAAAAGGGGGTATTACCGTGTCGGGTCGCGCAAAGATCCGGGTCGGATCCGCGCGACCCGACAGCGTCCAGAATCGCGCGATCCACCGGCGTCGCGCGATTCGCACGATTCCGGCGTGAATCGCGCGATCCACCGGCGCGATTCAGACGGCAAAGAGATACACTGGGAGATTCGTATCTCCCAGTGTGCAATCCGTAGTGTATCGTGCGATCCGAATCGCGAATCGCACGATACTAATAACCATGCAAGATACAACAAATGAGAAGAGAAAGATATTACCAAAAAAAAAAATGTAAGCAGAGAAAGAGAGATTTTAATAGGACCCCCTAAATTAAACCTCTTCTTTCTTTTTCTTCCATCCAAATTTGAAATTCTTCTTAAGAAAATTAAAACCCTTTGAGCCCTCATTCCTTTTTTAATGTTGAGGTGGATTTCAAGCAAACGTGCAATAGACATGGTCACCCACATACAATTTTAATTTATTCTGTTATTAAAAAAATGGAGAATCAAAAAGAAATGTAACACATTCTATATGCTTCATATCTTGAAAAGGTCTCAATCTAGCAAGAAGCATTCTCAATGACACACTACAAAAAAAAAAAACTTATGTTTGCAGCGATTTATTTGTGATAATGACAAACAACCACTACAAAGTGCATGATTTGTGGCGATTTTTTTGCTAAACCACTATAACTTTGTAGCCTTTTAATGAGACTAAAGTTTGTGTCATATTTTGTTGCTATTTTTTGCTTAAATAATTACTCTTCCGGTTTTTAATATAAGACCCAATTCTTAAATTAGTTTTGGTCCTAAATATAAGACCTATTTCTCATATTTATCAATTTTCTCTAAATTACCCATATAGATACTTCCTCAATCATAACCAAGTAGAAGAGGGAGAGGAGGTATTAAAAAAGATTATTATGGTATTTTAGGAAAAATGTGTCACTTTTCTTATAATTAACTAACTCACCTAACTTCTTTAATTTAATCAAATTAGTTAAATGGGTCTTATATTAAGGACCGGAGGAGTATTATGTTTAGACCACATCAACATTTGTCTTTAGATCTGCAATGATTTCAACGATTGAATCCTTGACAGATTAATCTCAAAAAAACTTTAGAAAAAAGGGAGGAAACAAGATTTCACATTTGACTATAGGTGAAATTATTAAAATCTAAAATTTCTTAAACCGGACTAATTAAAAGCCCTCATGAATTATAGAGCAGATACAAAACCAGACAGAATTCTCATGCAATGCATGGTTTTAAATTATACTAAATCTTTATCGAATATAATAATAAAAATAAATAGTGAATTTAAATGACAGTATTAATGAATATATAATTAGTAAAAATAATGGTCGATTTGAAAAACATATATAATATTAATATTTACAGTAATGAATGATTGGAGGAAAAAACAACAAATGTACCTAATTCCATTTGAACACTAAGTTTAGTTTTGATGATTAGACTAAATTAACATGCTTACTCTAGGTTCTTTAATTTAACTCTATCAGATTTGTAAGGTATATATTTTTATTGTATATATATACCAAATCATTCCACAAAAGCAATCTTCTAGCAAAACCCATGCAGAATGATTTTAGGTTTAATTAGCCATAAATTTTATCCCATTACGTGCAACTGAAAAAAAAAAAAAAAACTGGAACCAACGGTAGCCAATTCACTTACAAACAATATGAACTAAATAAATAAATTACATGGTACTTTGTTTATGTAACTAATTTAATGAAATTAAAAAATTAGGTAAGGGTACCAATAACTCATTTATACACTCGGATGACAACTAGCATGATTCGTACACCTTTTCTTTTCTTTTTTCTTTTTTGGAAAAGGTCCTCACGTTACGCGGAATTGAAACTTTGAATTGAATTTTGATGATTATTTAATAATTTATAGGTTTCTCATACGATCATATAGGCAATCAACTAAGAGAAATACCAAATAATAATGAATTGAATAAATTAACATCATTTCCTTGGCCGCATAAGGGGCCCACGGCCTAAAGAGGTGACACCAATTTTAGCCTTAAACACTAAGAAACATAAATTTAATACATATATATTTATATGTATTTCTATAATTATTGTAATTTTATTTTGGATTAATACAAACTTTAGTTTCTCAAGTTTGCCTTCATTTTAATTTTGATTCCTCAAATTTCAAATTATAGGTTTTGATCTCTCAAGTTTCTTTTTATTTATAATATTGGTTCCTATAATTCAATAAAAACTTGAATTATTTTGTTCTTTATGGAATCAAAACTTACAGTTTAAAATTTGAGAGGCCAAAACTAAATGAGGACAAACTTGAAAGGCCAAAGATTATAATAACATTTTTATTTAACTTTAAATTTAAACCCTTCCTGGCCAAAAGATAGACTTCATAATTGAAGATATTGTGTTTAAATCTTTACTATAATTCAAATAAAATTTCAATTCTATAATATTCATTGAATTTTTTGGATACTATTTTATTGCAAGCCATCATATGTGTGTGTGTGTTTAAGTTCTTAATAAAATATCTATAGTTAAATAAAATAAAAAAGTTTAACAAAATATTGACTGAATTATTGAGCAAATTACAGCCACGGGTTGAATAAAATCATCAGCACGAAGATATAATTTTTCCCTAAAATGCAAAAAAAAAAAAAAAGAGTGGTAGAGTGTGCTCTTCTTTTCTTGTCCTTTAAACCCTCCCAGAATTATCATATATTGATTTCCCCCCAACATTTGACATATTGGTTAATAATGTACTTAAATTATATACTTATTTCAATTTACATTAAGTATATGAAAGCACTAGTGATCCGTGATTTGATCATATTGTTGTTTTTCTTAAATTGTACTAATAATCAAACTGCTGTCAAAATACTCTTGAAATGATTGAGTGTTGGATATATAAAAATTAGAATACATACAAATTTGATTCATTATTTTTTTTTCCTATTTTTACTCATTAACTCTTCAATACAATGATCTAATTATCAATATGTCGTTGTAGGGGGACTAACTTTGCCCGTTGTGGCTCGCCAAAGCTTCTTTAAAGGAGTCTTGTTCGGTGATTTGGATTTGGAGAACTCTTGATCAACTATAATCTCTAGTTAAAAGTGATAGATAGTGCTTGGTTTAAATAATATTACTTCTGGTGTTTAATATATATAAGACCTAATTAACTAATTTGTAGAGATTAAAAAAATTAGTTAAGTTAGTTATTTATAATAAATAAATATTATTTTTTTCTTAAAATAATCTTATTAATAATGTGTATTTGAATTATAAATTGACAGCAAGTGCTTAACAAATACTCCTCCAACCTTAATATAAGATCCATTTAACTAATTTGATTAGATTAAAGAAGTTAGGTAAATTAGTTAATTATAAGAAAAGTGACACATTTTTCCTAAAATATCATAATCATTTTTCTTAATATCCCTTCTCCCTTTCCTACTTGATTATAGTTGAAAAAATATCCATAGGGGTAATTTAGAAAAAACTGATAAATATGATAAATACGTCTTATATTTAGGACCAAAACCAACTCGATAATTAAGTCTTATATTAATGACCGGAGGAGTACAACAACTATATGATTACTTTAGGCAAAATAAATAAATATTAAAGACAAAGGGGATTAAAGTCTTATATTTATAACTAAATTAAAAATCAAACTAATTCTTATATTAAGAACTCTGGTAGTAGTTAATCAGCATCTCTAGGAGACATTTTGTCTTGGACTTATTTACCTGTGGTTTGTACTTTGTTTTATTTTAATGGAATTTCTCTTTCTAGCAAAAAAAAAACTCAGCCTTAATAAGTTATGAACATGTGATTCTTGCTTAGAATTTATACTATAAAGAAAAAATATATTTTTGGCCAGAAAATGAACGAAATAATGAATAATTGATGAAATGAGAAGGGAAGGTGGGTAGTGATAAAGTACAGCACGACTTTGAACGTATGGTCGGTTGAGAGCGGCCCCCGAAGGAACCGCCAGCCCATCATAGCCGCCCGTTGTGACGTGGCAGAGCATCAACATGAGGGACATGGACGGCAATGACAACTTTGTTGGATTCCAAATCCACCTCAGATCATCTCCCCTTCCCAACAAGTCGTGACTGGAGCCTTTCTTTCCTCAACCCCTTGTTTGGTTTCACAAAAGTACTGAGAATGCGGGTTAGTAATCTAATTATAATTAAAATAATACCATAATTTAACTGAAAATATGTAAAAAATATTTATACATAAGTTTGAAGGAATAATACTTTTAATCAATGAGTAAATAAAAACAAAATTATTAAAGTATAACATGACTAAGGGTCTGTTAAGAATAGCGTTAAACAATCATAATTTTAGATAATCATAATTTTTATAAGTGATATCAGTTAAATATAATGCTGATTAATCATGATTTTTGTTTAGATACTTTTTTCTTATAAGTAATTTTAAGAATGCAGATTATATTTAAATTTTGTTTATTAAAATCGCTTATAAATATATAATTAGTCAAGAGCAATAAGTGTAGGTAAAAGAAATATAATTAAATACTAGTATAATTTTTATAAGTATTCATTTATTATTATTTAAATATAATTTTAAGTTAATAATTAATAATTATTATTAAAAAGGGTATATAGGAGAAATTCTTGTAGTAAACCTCAATTGGATTTTCCAATCATAAAAGTTACTCTTAATAGTTTATGCTCAAACGTGCGATTGGAATTGAAATCAAGATTTATTGAAATTTCAAAAAATTCAGCAAATAGGATACATAGATTACTTATTTGATTTCAAATGTGCTTATTTGAGTTCTTACCATTTAACCAAACAAGGCATAACTCTTACTTTTTGTTGTTAAACTTAGGATGATATCATTTCAGACCCTAAAAAAAAAAAAAAACCAAATTAGTCAGTCTATTAAGGAGTGTTTGAATTAGTTTTTCAAAAGTAATTTTACAATATTTAAATTAAGTATGTGAGAGTGAAATTACTTTTTTTTTTTAATTAATTCTAATACTTTCCAAACACCCCTTAAAACTCTCATCCTTCCATTATGGGCTTGGTTTATTGACTCGAACCAATCCATTTGAAGTGGTTTTAAGTTTTAACACCATGGGTTTAACAATCTCCATCTTTATTTTCATAAATTAAAAGTAGACTAATACCCACATTATTATAAGGGGTTTAAAGCAGAATAATATATTAATTTATTTAAAGAATATTTATAATAAGAATTTAATGGAGTATCTAAAATATTTTTGCTGCTAACCATACGTAACTAGGTAATAAACATGTTTTAGTCAGGAAAATATGTTAAATATATCAATAGGTTATTTATATGACAGAAGAATATCCATGTTTTGTTTTCCTAAGAATGGGCACATGGTAAGTAAACAAATTGGTAACAAGACAAACTAATGTCAGTCAAACCATGCTGCGACCCTTTCCCCAGAAAAACTTTTTCTTTGCCATTCGGCAGTTTCAAATTCCTTGCATTCATAATTTTCATTTACTGCTCCAACCAAACAGAGCCATGTGGGCATCTTCTATCTGCATTTGAGTTTCATTTCACTTGCATTTCACTCTCATTTAGCTTTGCTCATCTGATATAAAAGCATAAATAAGGAATTCGCTCATATTTTCTGTTTTATACTTTTGCTTTCAGCTGCTGCTTCATCGAACTGATTCTCTCCTGTTCTTCCTTTACCTGCAACCCGGGGAGTTCAAGTTCAAATTTGAAAGGTGTGTTTGGATCCTTGTTTCCCTTTCTTGTTTTAGCTAGTTGATCTTGTGAATTTTCAGTAAATTTTGTTTTGCATGGTTTCTCAATAAACCCCTTTTTTATGTCTTGCTTTTTTAAATTCTGAATGTGTAACCCGAGGTCTTTGTCTGATAATGTGTGCTGGATTCGAAACCATCCTAGCTTTATTTGTTTCTGTAGGAGATAGATCTGTTTTATTGCTCAATTTTTTGTTTGGGTAAGTTATAAGGTGTTGATTTTTTATGTGTGGTGTCTGTGATGCGGTGGATTTGATGTTTGTTTCGTTTCGGATATTCTAGTGTCGGAAATTGGACTTGTCTTTTATATTCGGGGTCTTGCCTATGGTCTCTGTTATGCCCACGTCTGATCTCTATGGTTTTTGCATGTAATGTAATAAGTTCTTTCAAAACAAAACTGTATTATTTCTTGGTTCCAATGAATTGATTGTAAAATAGAATGGCACGACTTTATTCTATTGTATGGGTGTATATGATCAAACTAATACCCGCATAGATTTTCTTATGCTAATTGTTACTGTTACTATTTACTGTCTTTCATATTTTCCAGTGAATGAGCAATAACTATTTGATTTCCTTTCTGTTGTACAGATCATAAAAGATGGCTGATGCCGAGGACATTCAACCTCTTGTTGTTGACAATGGAACTGGAATGGTCAAGGTTAGTCTATCTGTTTTTACGGAATGAGAAATTGAAGATTGCAGCCTTGACATGTTTAAAAGGCCTGAAGGCTGATGCTGTCCTATTTTGCAGGCTGGTTTTGCTGGTGATGATGCGCCAAGGGCTGTGTTCCCTAGCATTGTTGGGCGACCTCGCCACACAGGTGTTATGGTTGGGATGGGCCAGAAGGATGCTTATGTGGGTGATGAGGCACAGTCAAAAAGAGGCATCCTTACCTTGAAGTACCCCATAGAGCATGGAATAGTAAGCAATTGGGATGATATGGAGAAGATTTGGCATCACACTTTCTACAATGAACTTCGTGTTGCCCCTGAGGAACACCCTGTACTTCTCACCGAGGCACCACTTAATCCCAAGGCCAACAGAGAGAAGATGACCCAAATCATGTTTGAAACTTTCAATGTGCCTGCTATGTATGTTGCCATCCAGGCTGTTCTATCTCTCTATGCTAGTGGTCGTACAACAGGTTTGTTACAAGTCTAGATTTTATTCCTTGCGTTTTGATAATTGATATTGAACTTGATCTGGTTGCTAAAGTAAACTCTAAGACCCTAATTATTTATAAAGATTGTTGAATAATGACAATCTCCACAACTCAATAGGCACAATGGCACATGTTCTGAGTAACTCCAAGCTTACTTTGATGGTACATTCTTACCGGAGTCGTGAATTTTTAAATAGGTATTGTGCTCGATTCTGGTGATGGTGTGAGCCATACAGTGCCTATTTATGAAGGGTATGCTCTGCCTCATGCAATCCTACGTCTGGACCTTGCTGGACGTGACTTGACAGATTACTTGATGAAAATTCTTACTGAGAGAGGATACACTTTCACTACCTCTGCTGAACGGGAAATTGTACGTGATATGAAGGAGAAACTAGCATATGTTGCCCTTGATTATGAGCAAGAGTTGGAAACTGCTAAGACTAGTTCAGCTGTAGAGAAGAGCTATGAGTTGCCTGATGGGCAGGTTATCACAATCGGTGCTGAGAGGTTCAGATGCCCAGAAGTACTTTACCAGCCATCTTTCATTGGTATGGAAGCTGCTGGAATTCACGAAACAACCTACAACTCTATCATGAAATGTGACGTTGATATTAGGAAGGATCTGTATGGAAATATTGTGCTCAGTGGTGGTTCAACTATGTTCCCTGGCATTGCTGATCGTATGAGCAAGGAAATCACCGCCCTTGCTCCAAGCAGCATGAAGATCAAGGTGGTTGCTCCTCCTGAAAGAAAGTACAGTGTCTGGATTGGTGGCTCTATTTTGGCATCACTTAGCACCTTCCAACAGGTTTGCAACCTCACATTTCTCCAATTAGTAGGATAGATAGATTTATGATTGTTATACACTGCTTTGCTCATTGATTGTCCTTTTCTTACTATCCAGATGTGGATTTCCAAGGGTGAATATGATGAATCTGGTCCTGCAATTGTTCACCGCAAGTGCTTCTGAGCTGGTTTAAAGAGAAGTAGAGGGTAAATTCAAGTTCTTCATGCATCCGGTCTTGTGTGATGTGCCAGTCAACTATGGTTCAAATCTTGAAGCTTCGGATTTTAGAAGAAGGGGTATTTCTAGTGTACTAAATGATTTGGCTTGTAATTTATGTGTTTTCATTAGGTCCTTGAAAGCTGCTCTAGTTTATGAAATTGGCGGACTTGGTAGGTTTTGTTTGGTTTATTTTATTCACTTTTCGTGCTTTGGCCATAAAATCTAGATGCCTTTGAGTTAGGAGAACGAGAGATTCTATGATTTTTTTCCCCCTCTTTCAGGCTGGGATTTTTGAGTCGGTTCTGTCTATATTTGTTGTATGCTTGAATGGATTCTGAGTTTGCAGGGAATTTTCCCCTTTTTCCTTCAACGTGGCAATCCTTCTTTTCTTCAGCTTCTGTTACTTAGGTCTGTTTAACCCTCAACTTGGCTGAATTTATTATTCCCCCCAAGTTAGACAGTTGTGTAATTATATTTATTTAATTACACAAATAATTAAGTACTACCTTTGGTCTTTAATATAAAACCCTATTTGACTTTTATTTTGGTCCTAAATATAAGACCCCAATCCACTTTGTTTATCATATTTATGTATTTTTTCCCAAGATAGTCCTTCTAATAATTGTAGTTCTAGCCAATATAGTTGATTAGTAAGGATATTTTAGGAAAGACAACATTTATTTATTACAAATAACTAAATTAACTTCTTCTCAAATTAGTCAACTGGGTCTTATAATTAGGACCGGAGGTAGTAATTTAAAATGAAATTAATAAATTAATATACGAGGGACATTCAATGATGTTGTGACGCAAGAAATAATTCATGTTTTCATGTAATGTATTGATATTTCCATTCATTTAATCATGCCGTTATACCATCAATCAATGCTTAGTCTTTAAATTTCTTAATTTTAATATGAAATATTTATTTATAAATAATTGAAAATTAATGTGCAAGTTGCCATCTTGCCATGGTTTTTCCTAATTTTTAATCAAGTCCTTGTAGTTCTTCTAGTTCTTTATAGTTTTATCTATTTTTAATTTAGTTCTTATAGTTTTTTTTTTCAGTCACTTAAAACTATAATTTAAAACAAGTGCTGTTTTTTGTATTGGCCTGAAAATAAGTGCTGTTTAAAGATAGAAAAACTACAAAGACCCCAATTAATATCTGTGAAATATCAGGATGGGGTAAAAAATAATAGGATTTTAATTAAAAATTGGGAAAAATTATTAGGAATTGCCGGTTGATTTTTCCAAATAATTAAAACAAATTTACAAATTAAATTTTCAAGAAATTATCCCCTGACTAAAATTATAAGGACGTGGTAAAAAATAATAGGATTTTAATTAAAAATTCTAATATAAAATTTACGCACGCCACTCCAGTAGCTTTCAAAATCTGCATCGTTATTTTTTTCTTTTAAATTCATCATATTTATGAGGGTTGATTGCATAATAGAGTTCTTAAGAATTTTATGGTGTGATTCAAATTTTGTTTGCCAACACAGATCAATATGCCTGCACAAAAATATAGAAATACATTATATAGAACTTTATATAAAATAAAATAGAAAAATCAGGTTATTGAGTTACATGAACACCCTTAGCTATTCCTATCAAAAATATTGGAAAGAAGTTACAAGGATTGAATTTAACGTAAGAGGTAATCCTCATATGATAAATAAGGATTTGAATCCTATTTAAAAAAGTATTTATATTTACGAAGTGTTTGGAAGCACTCAAAAGTGCTTCTTAGTACTTTTTCGTAAAACGAGACAAATTTCTCTATATATTTATTTCGTATATCGTAAAAGCACTTTTAAAATTATGATTTTAATTCCATCCAAACACCCCATGTCTCTCTGTGTGCCTTAAGATGTGTTGGTTGAACAAAGGAAAAAAGGAGGGGGTGATTTTAATGAAGGGAAAAAAAAGAGAAATGGAAGGGAAGGGTTTCAATGAAAAAAAAAGAAAGAGATGGAAGGAATTTTAATATTATCCTATTTAGTTTAAGAGGGGAAGAAAGAAACATATTTTTACATAGACAAGTTTGTCCTTATTTTATTTGGTAATTGATAGGTAATATATTTTTATATGGGCAAAATGCAAACAAAAAATGCCCATTCAGTCTTGCCAATCAGTTGGGAAAGCAAAATATTTAGGAGAAACAAATGGCTATCAGTCATGACGAGCACTCGACTAGTACATTACAGTAACAGATATTTTTATAACTTCTAGGATGACTTAAATCATTGCCTCTAAAGATATGCCTGAATCTCCACTCGTTGCCGCACTGTGTAAATCCTTCGCCACCAACTCCTGGTTGGGTGGCTGCTTCAACATATCTTGTTAATAGAGCACAGAGAATTCCTCTCGTTCAGTATCGATGACAACAAAACAGAGCATAACAAGGAGACAAAGGCAAGGACTCAGATCTAGAGAATGATTCAGTGATGGACCAGGACGTGGAGGCAATTACCAGGCGTCGACGGTGATGACAGGAGGATGCAAGTTACCCGAGCACGATAGAGATGCAAGGTGAGAAGTGGCCGAAGCAAATCAAAGAAAGCCTTGACACTAGAGGGCGACGTTGGAATATTAAAAAATTACCACGGACATTTTTGTCAGAATTGGATGATAAATTCCCAATTTTGGGGGGAGAGGAAGGAAGGGAGGAAAGCAGATAAAGACAAAATCCCCCCCCCCCCTCTTTTAATTTTTGAACCAAACAGGTTTGATTCCTCTTCTACGTAGCCTGTGAGTTATGAGTCAACTCACTACAATTTACGAGTTATGCGGTGTAGATTGGAAAAATATCAATCCTAACTTGTCAAAAGGAGTTGGCAGGCCGACTTGCCTCCTTATCTTCTTTTTTTAATTCTCAATTTTTAAGCCCTATTTTTTAATTTAATTTTTTAAATTAATAAATAGTAATTCAAAATTTTAAAAACAATCACAAGCATAAATTATGTTTAACTACACTTAAAATAGTCAATACAAATATAAAACAGTACATTAAAAATATTTTACATAATTAACATTCAACATCAACTCATTAAGTAATAAATTTTATAATTTTTTCACACAAATAGCATTATTGATTAAAAAAAAAAACCATCTCTTAGTATTGGACAGGTTTCAGGACGGTACCTGTGTGTGTGCCTAAAAAAGGCATGGGATAGAGAATCGAAAGTCGTCTTAGATGCCCAATTTGCTTATTTTAATACCCCGCCCTCCCACATCAGAAACTTGGAGATTGAAAAAGATGTCAAGAAAGATAAAGGAACTCTATAATTGATAATTTAGATACGCAGAGATAAGATTTCCTTTTGATTTCTATGTCTTTTTTGCCCTCCTTTCTATTTCATGGAAGTCAACTCGTTAAGAAAGATTTGGGTTCCACATCAGAATGACTTCAGAAATACACTCGCATGTTTATCTTGACAAGCAAGAGTAATTGACCAAGCACTCCGCAAAAACAGCATATAATTGGGAGATTCCAGCCAGGTTTTCCATCTCTTTCTTTTCTGTATTCTTTTGATCCTCATCTTCTTCTGAATCATCCTCTGCGCGCGTCACCTCCGCTTTATAGTCCTCGCATTTCGGAATAAGCCTCCGTATTATTCCTCTGATCGGCTACCATTTCCTCTGATTCTCTGGAATAGCTCTGTTTTGGCGAAGGAAAGGAGAGGTAGGGATTTGAGAAGAGAAAGAAATGGATCACGCGGCGGATGCTCAAAGGACTGATTTGATGACGATCACTCGATTCGTTCTGAACGAACAGTCAAAGCACAAGCAATCGCGCGGCGATTTCACCATTCTCCTCAATCACATCGTCCTTGGCTGCAAATTTGTCTGCTCTTCTGTTAGTAAGGTTCTCTTCTTCCTCCTGCCCTCGCTCTCTTTTCTGCCACTCTTCCTCCGCTCCTTCATGTTTAGAGAATTAGTTATATACACATATATACACACACAAAATTGGAGAAATTTTACATGGTAGTGGTTAATATGTAAGTATATACTATGTATCAAAAAAGTATGTATATACAGAATGAAGGACTGGGGGTGAAGGGAAGGGAAGGGAGGAAAATCAGTAAAAATGGGAAAGAAGGCTAAGCAGGTAGTTGAGCTTGCGCCCTCTTGCGCTGAAAGTATTATTGTTTTTTATTTTATTGGTAATTTTTAATTGTCCGAAAAAGCCGTGTTCGCATTTAGTTCAGGGACAATGACCAAAAAAAAAAAAAAAACTAGAATTTTGTAAATACTACTCCCGTCTTAAATATAAGACCCTTATACACGTGTATAAGGGTCTTATATTTAAGACCAGAGGAGTACTAAATAAGATACTTTTCCGGTCTTAAATATAAGACCCAATTAGTGAGTTGGTTTTGGTCCTAAATATAAGACCCATTTTTCATATTTATCAATTTTCTCTAAATTACCCCTATAGATATTCCCTCAACTATAATTAAGTAGAAGAGAGAGAGAGTATTAAGAAAGATGATTATGGTATTTTAGGAAAAATGTGTCACTTTTCTTATAATTAACTAATTTACCTAACTTCCTTAATCTAATCAAATTAGTAAAATGGGTTTTATATTAAGGACCGGAAGAGTATGTCAAAAAAAAATTTGTTGTCATTTATAAATTCAGATTTGTCAATATTAATATCAAATAAAATTGTGTTATCAAACCTGATTTGGAATTTACAATTTCAAGCTTCTTTTCTGTTATTTTTTTTTAGTTTAACTCATTTTAAATTTTAGAATGTACAAATAAATATGTGAGAGCGCTGTCGTCTTGAAAAGCGTAGAAGTAATTTTCTCATGGTATGCCAAACACGTACTAATAGTTTGCTTTTTTTTTTTTTTTTTAAATCCCTTGGTTGGCAAAAAAAAAAAAGCTTGTCTTTTTGTTAAGTATTTGAAATTAAAAACTTATATTCATTGTATAAAAAGTGAAATATAAAATTTATTTATTTATTTATTTTTAATACTGTAAAGTTTGTACCTACAAAATGGATTTTTATAATATTTTAATTTTCATTTTATTTAAATATTTAATTCTATATATCAAAACTCAAAAGAGGCTTCAAAGTCAAAACCTAATTAGTTTGGAGGAGAACAAAAAGATGCTTGGGATTACTAAATTTCAAATTAGATTTGGTAACATTTTAATAGATTTTGACAACATTGAATTTGTAAATAACAAAACATTTTTGTTACAATTCTTTATTTGAGATTAATAATTTTAATTTTTTTATGGGATTTTCCTTGGTTTCGACAGGAAAAAAAAATTGAAGATATGATGACAGTTCCATGAGTAAAAGATGTTTAATATCTTTTAAATAAAGTAAATGATTTAATTCTTGTAAATTAAAAAAATACCCTATTTGAATTTAACTATGCGTAAATATGAACTAATGATTACTACTAGATATTATATTGTGAAAAAAAGAGAGAAAGAAATGTAGGTTTTGTAATAATTATTTTCTTTTAATTTTTGAGTTATTAATAGGAAAGCAAAGTTAACAGGGAATTTTCAAGTAACGTTATGAGAATTTTCTCCTCTGTATTTTAAATTACTCCATGCATGTGCTTGCTCTCGGGATTTAGTAACTTCAATGATTACTTCATCAACAATTTAATCTTATTAACTTAGTTACGTTTCCTTGTCAAAGTACTCATATAGATGAATGCCAATGAAATAATAAATAATTAAATATTAACTTAAATAGTATGTTAAAATAGAGATTATGTCAGTAATTTTACCAAATAAAGTTGTTTGAATCACAGAAGGGACGAAAATTTGAAAGGAACCAAAAAAAAAAAGAAAGTCACTAAATTGAGAAATACTTTCTTTAACAGGCAGGGCTGGCAGAAGTGCTTGGACTTGCAGGGCAGACCAATGTTCAAGTAAGTGAGCTCTCTTAGGAATTCCTTCTAATGCTTCCATGAACTCATTTTTATTTCTTTCAAAGTATTTTATTTTTTAATCTGGAAAACCATTTCCAGGGTGAAGATCAAAAGAAATTGGATGTTCTTTCAAATGAAGTGTTTGTCAAGGCCTTAGTTAGCAGTGGGCGTACTGTGAGTATAACATCATCCAACATTTCTCTCTTCTCATTTCTCAATATCCTGTGTTCTTTTCTCTCACCTAACCAGACATGTTACTCTGTACATTGTACGAAATATGAGAAATAAATCATACTATTCATGATTTGTACTCTGAAGATACATTGAAAAGGAGATACATTCATATTGAAAATGTATTAGACATAATCCTAAATTATAATCTGGCATTTATACCATATATAATCAATGGAAATATAATTTGCTGCCTCATCACTTGTCAGTGCATTCTTGTTTCTGAAGAGAATGAAGATCCTATATTCGTGGAGCCATCACAACGGGGAAAGTAAGTTCAAGTACTCTTTGAAGCTCATCCATTGAACAATTCCATGATATTTATGTGAGACCCTTTTGATTTTGATAGATACATTGTTGTATTTGACCCTTTGGATGGATCTTCCAACATTGACTGTGGTGTTTCCATAGGAACTGTACGTATGAATTTCTCATCCTCAAAATAACTAATCAATTTGAAAAACTATTGTAACAAATTATTCTGATAATTAATACTTCTCTTGTTGCATTTAGATCTTTGGCATTTATCTGGTGAAGGATCAGAATAATCCAACTCTTGATGATATTTTGCAATCTGGAAACAGCATATTAGCAGCTGGTTACTGCATGTATGGAAGCTCTTGTACGGTAAAACAAGCATTCGTTTTCTCAATCATGGACTATTTTCCTTGTTCCATTGAAAGATTTCAGTTTTCTACTTTTCCTGTGATGAACATGTAATGTTGATTCAATAAGTTTTGGAATTGTAGTTTGTGCTAAGCACAGGAAATGGAGTAAATGGTTTCACACTTGATCCTTGCCTTGGGGAATTCATATTGACACACCCAAATATCAAGGTATTGAAGTGGACCACAAATTGGTATATCAAATTAATAGCTATGCTTTTAAGTGTGAACAGTATGCTAAACTATATATATTCTTAACAGATACCGAAGAAAGGAAAAGTTTATTCCGTGAATGAGGGAAATGCTAAAAATTGGGACGAACCAACTGCCAAGTAAGTTTTAGGGATTTTCTCAATTGTCTATAGAACATATCAGATGAAGATTAAGGTAATTAAGAATTAAGATTGTCTAGCATCACTTGGCAAAAAACAAAAAAAGATTGTCTAGCATCACACAAAGTATGGACTGTTTTCTGGGTTACAGTAAGTGGATTAAATTTTAAATCTTATCTTTAATAGCTAACTTCTGAGGGACGATTCTTACCCCTTTGAGATGACCAGCAATTTGGACTAGAGCTGATTGTTGGGGGCACAAAAAATGGTAAATTAAGAGAGGGTTCTGGCTAGCAAGAAAACCGAGTAAAATGTCCCAAGGTATAGACATTAAGACATTGGCTCTCAAAGAGAAGCCAGTTGATGGAGGACAATGCAGTGTAAGTTACCTAGTTCCGCATCGAGTAATATGACCTACTTTATATGATGCTCAAGCATATTTACTTTCTTACTTTCAGTATCTAACTTTTGAGAGAGGTTCTCTACTTTATTACCTAGTCCCATCAAATATTTCTCTCGCCTCTTTTGAGGTGTTAGAATCTATATTTCAGAGTTGCCATTGAACCTTACACCTTCTTGACGCGAGGTCTACTTTTTATGCTATTAGATTTCCAATACCTCAATCTAATGCTGTGCAGTTTTTACCAAAGATTGACTCATACTTCCAAGATTACTTCCATAGTTCAAACCAGTTGTGGTGTGAGTGCATAATGTTTTGAAGGATATTTCTGATGCTATCGCAATTTTGCATTTTCAGATATGTACAAAGCTGCAAGTATCCTCAAGATGGTTCACCATCAAAGTCTCTTAGGTACATTGGAAGGTATTTGGTCTCCTCAACATACATGGTACAATTTCTTGATTTTCTTCAAAATTATTTTCATTGATGCTAACAAAGATGAGTTATGCAGCATGGTTGCTGATATCCACCGGACACTGCTTTATGGTGGTATCTTCATGTACCCTGCTGACAAGAAAAGCCCAAGTGGAAAACTCCGGTATGGCACTGTTTTTGTTTCGTCCTAACCGTATGAACCCATCATAAATCTACCTTTTGACATTGATCCTATAACCAAATTGATCCCACACTCCATTTGATTATAGGAACAAAAGAATCTGTCTATCATCTCTACATTATTCTATTATGTTTTTGTTAGAATTGTTCAACACAGCAACAGGTTTTATTCCGTTAAATGAGGTTGGCTATATAAACAGACCTCGTTGCATGATCTCCGAAGGAGAAGGAACATAACAGAGTGCATTATATTGCAGTTTTCTTTCTGTTGGGGTTATTAGTGGTTGTGTTTCATGGATATATGAGTCGCTTATGAGGACTATCTTGTACTTTTGTGATTAATAGGATTCTGTATGAAGTGTTTCCCATGTCATACTTGATGGAGCAAGCAGGAGGTCAATCTTTTACAGGAAAACAAAGGGTATACAAGACATTTCTCTCTCTCTCTCTGTTTTTTTTTTTTTTTTTTGGTTCTGTTAGTTTTCTTAACTTCATAAATTATTGTTTGACAAGAACATCTTATAAGAAAAAACCTGACTTTTTATTCATAAGCATATTGATTCTTATGATTTGAAATAGAATGTGTAACGATGCAATTAAAATTGCAGGCACTTGACTTGGTTCCAGAGAAAGTACACGATCGATCTCCAATATTCTTAGGAAGTTACGATGATGTTGAGCAAATCAAAGCTCTCTATGCAGCAGAAGCAGAAGCATCAAATGGAGCAACGGAAAACGATATTGTTTAATAAATCTCTTTGAGCATTAGTCGTACAAAAAAAAAACAACAGAAATTGTCAATTCCCATTTGATAAATTCATGTGTGTTGATTGTTTCCCCCCACTTTTAAAAGCCAATATATAAGCTTGTGTTGTTGTGAAGGACAGCACAGATCTCAATATAGTCCCATGCATGGACAATAAATCAATATATTAACTGGGAATCATTTTTAGTCTCAATTTTCTTGATAAACCCAAGAAGATAATTTAAATAGGATGTGGTGTTCATCGTAAGATTTTCTTTTTTCAAAGAAGTAAATGTGAGGACATGGACACATGTATTGTAATTAAAAGTTTTAATTTATAGTGATTTAATTAGTTAAAAAGATTTATCCCAAAATTCAAGGGTGGAAAGCAATATTATACTTTAAGGTTTGGTGGCATGAATTAAGGTCGTATTTTGGTAAGATGGAGTCTTTTTTGAAGTAAATTGAAGGGAGAGGGAGACAGATACACATGGTTAGATGATTTTGTTAAAAATATGTTTCTTAGGAGAAAGGAGTGATGATTTTTCTTGCAATAAAGGTTTAGTATAAAATAATTAAGAATGGTCAAATGACATGAATACTCCTTTTTAAAACGCTCAAGTCTAGTTTTCAAAATCATGGGTATTATATGGATAAAAAAACATTTTTAAAAATTAAATAGTAAAACGTTTTATCAAGAAGGGACAAAATAATTAAAACGTTTTTTGAAAAATTGGAGGTAAAACCATAAAATAAAATCATTAGACATATATAGTTCATTTTATACACATGCCAAACCCAACAACTAATCTAATGTGATGGGTTGCAGTGTTTTTTTTCCCCAGTAATACGGTAGATATTAGATAGTGGAGCAACACAAAACCTATTAATCTAATATTCTTAATCGGAAATTAGCTTACTAAAAAGATTTTAAGATAGCATCATTCCCACAATCCCACGTTAATGTTATTTCCTTCCCCGTTTCTTCTGATCAATGGGAACCATTTTCCTTCACTCCTTCCCCTGATTTCTCCTCTTTCTCAGCAGACAAATCCTTCTGTATGGTTCCTTCATCTTTCTCCTTCTTCTCTGTCTTTGCCATTTCAAGAGCTTCAATCAACCTCTTCAAGCAAATCTCTTCATCTTCCTCCATTGACTTCGGCATCAGATTCTCAGCAACATCGGCAGGTGTCATCTCCGTCTCATTCAGCAATCCCTCAATTCTCGAGAACAAGTGGTGGCTCTCAATATTCAAGTAATTCTTAGCCAGCACCTTGAAGGCTTCATAGCAACAGTACGATAACTCAATATGCTTATCCATTCGTCCTCTTCTGATCAAAGCAGGATCCAGTTTGTCCACAAAATTAGTTGTGAACACAATGATCCTCTCTCCTCCACAAGACGACCAAACTCCATCAATGAAATTCAACAAACCAGACAGAGTCACCTTACTGTTCTTCTCTTCTTCTTCATATCTCTTCAAAAGGTCTTCTTTGGATTTCTTGTCCTCCTCCTCGTCCTTAGTTCCTTTTGCATTCTTGTTCATCTTTTTCCTTTGCCCAGTGAGATTAAGAGAGCAATCAATATCCTCAATCACTATTATTGATTTACCGTGAGTTTGGATCAAGAGCTTCCTGAGCTCTGTGTTGTTCTTCACCGCCGTCAACTCCAGATCGTAGATATCGTAGTTCAAGAAATTGGCCATGGCGGCGATCATGGTGGACTTACCGGTCCCAGGAGGACCATAGAGCAAATAGCCACGTTTCCAAGGCTTACCGATTTTCGCATAATAGTTCTTACCATTTTTGAACCTAACAAGATCCTTTACAATCTCCTCCTTCTTCTTGGGATGTAAAGCCAGAGTATCAAAACTCGCAGGGTGCTCGAAAACAACACGGCTCCAGTTGTATGTGCTCAATCCACTGCTCGGATTGTTCGTAAGAAGCTTGATTTGCCTGTTTCTTGATGCAATGGCCTTCCCTTCATCCAACACGTGCCTGAGATACTGTCTCGTGATCAGATCTCGATGACATTTGTGAAATTTCAGAGTGAATAACCTCTCACCGGAAGAAACAGGATAGTGTGAGTACGTGGTCGTTATGGGACCGGTTTTGATGGAGAGCCACCAGATCTTAACGCCATGAAACTCGTCGGAGACCTCTTCGTTGTCGTCCATGCTAAGAACCAGAGGGGTTTGGCCATTTTTGACGAGCTCGGCTTTGAGTCTGCTGGCTCGCTGGGAAAAGTTGTGACTGAGATAGGTTTGGACGGCAGAGAAAGCTTCGCTGCACTTGAGGCGATCGCCTGAGTATTCAGAGAAGGAGATTCGGACGTAAGGAGAGAAAAGGGAGGTGTGTCTATGGATGTAAGCTAGAACATAGTCACGAAGAAGACAAAGAGGAGGGAATTTTTCAATCATGGCGTACAGAAACATGAGGGTGGCCATGGCTGAACCTAGTTGAGCCCATAACGTCGCCATTTCCATCTTCTTTTGCTTCAGAAACTGAACCAGTGAATAATTGTGTGTTCTTGTGATGGATCACTACTTCTCAGAGTCACTTTGTGATGGGTATAATGCTATTTAATTGTTTCTACGTGAAGGAATCAGAATGATCAGATCATGCAAAAGAGATGAACATTGTTAAATTGGAATGAGCATGCTTTTGTTATGCGGAATCACTGAACTGTGCATGAGAAATACATGAGTGAAAAGTGAAGAAAACAAAACACAAACACATAATGAATTTCTGTTTCCATTTGCTGATCTGGAATTTTAGACGGATTTGATTATGGACATTCCATTTGAACTATAAAATTTCAACAATGAAACAGCAGATATACAAAAAAAAATTCTGCTAGTAACATCTTAATGCCTCTCTCTCCCAAAAACAAAACTATTTGCCTCAACAGCATGTGGAAGAGAAGCAATATATTTGTATGTTTTTATTATGCTATTTCAATATAATACTACATCATATAAAATTTTTTGTCAACATTATATATCACATAAATTAAACATCATTAATATATATCAATTTTACAAAAAGTCAAATTAATTATAGGATATATCCTATCCATATGCGGTATGCGTGCTTATTTTTGATAGGCTCCGTGTAACGTGTGAAACCCAGAGGCACTTAACAATATGTTATAACATGTTAAGATTATTAATAACATTAAGACTTTGAGGTAAAAAAAAAAAAGACTATTTAAAAATGTTCAGCATGGATAAATTTTACAAACAATTTTTATGAATATTAAAATAAAAAGTTGAGATGCATCTACCATCTTGTAAGTTGTCTCTATCAATTTAAAGTACTTTGTAGGTTATTCAACATTATAAAATGGAAAATTTCAATTAAAGACCACGGTAGCCAATTAATTTTAAGGAGCTCCAAAACAATCTGAAATGTCACTGCAGGACTAAAGGAGCAAATTGAAATTAATTTAAGAATAAAAGAGACGTTGTTGCCTCTCAAAACTATGACCCTGATATTAGGTCAAGCTCTTTCTCCTCTCACTCTTAAACCTGTCAACACCTCAAGCTTTTCCCTCTCTCACTCTCTGAAAAATCCTTAGCATACATTGAAAGAGATCCTTCGCTGTCATTGCCGTTCTAGTAAGGAGAGTTTTCGCTGCCTGCAATTTTTTGGTAACAAGAGCTTTCACTATCTCTATGACCTCTTTCACTGCCTTTTCAATTCAAAAATTTCTGCATAAAATACTGTTAAATCCTTCTCCATTTCTTCTATTGTAAATTTTATGGGTCTAGTTTAGGCTGTCGTTGTGTTCTGAACCAGTGAGAAATTTTTTTACTACTCAGATTTGAGATAAAATTATTCAGTACGTTGAGTTCAGATCCACACTGTTGAGTGTTGAGGGTGAGCCTTTCAATTCCTATTATGGATTGTATTGTGAATTTGCAAATTCTACTGGTCTACTGAAATGGTGATTGTGGTGTTGTGAAAACTTGCATTTCTCTTGTAAATTCGCAAATATTATATAAACATATGATGTGTTTAATTATTAAAATTTATTAAAATTGATACTTGAATGATGTGCAGCAACATATATATAAGGCCAACAGTAGTGGAATTAAATGTTTATGAGTTGTTCATTATTTTGGGTTTTTATTGTTGCATCATGTGCAAATGTATTGATGGTTCTTATCCTTATGCTATAGGAACAACACACTGTACTAAAGTCTGAGTTGTTGTGATGGTTCATTACTCATAATTGCAAAATTATTTCAATGGATAAAGATACAACTGAAAAGAAAGCGATGGCACATCAATTATTTTAT